CACTATGTTGGCCAGGCTGGTCTCAAACTCCTGACCTCATGATCTGCCTGCCTCAGCCTCCCAAAGTGCTGGGATTACAGGTGTGAGCCACTGTGCCTGGCCATGTCCTGCGTTTCCTCAGGAAAGCTGCAGCGAGAGGGAGGAAGAGGGAAGAGGAGGAAGCAAGAGGCCTGGTGTTCCAGTGTGAGAGCTGCAGTGGCAGAGCTGACTCATCAGGTCTGAGGCCTGCCCTTGGTAAACCGGGATGGGATGACTTCAAAATTAATTATACTATGTGCCTTCAAGATGCTAGGATGAAAGGCCTTGGGAGGCATAATTACTTGAGAGGTCATTCTTCAGGGGCCCTGGAGGAGCCTAGATCACTATCTGTAGGCCTCCTTTGCCCGAGAAGGACCTTCCTTCCTTCCTTTCTTTCTTTCTTTCTTTTCCTTCCTTCCTTCCTTCCTTTTTCTTTCTTTCTTCCTTCCTTCCTCTCTCTCTCTCTTTCTCTCTTTCTTTCTTCTTTCTTTCCTTCCTTCCTTCCTTCCTTCCTTCCTTCCTTTTTCTTTCTTTCTTTCTTTCTTTTTCTTTCTTTCTTTTTTGAGACAGAGTTGCTCTGTCGCCCATGCTGGAATGCAGTGGCGCAGTCTCAGTTCACTGCAACCTCTGCCTCTTGGGTTCAAGTGATTCTCCTATCTCAGCCTTCCAAGTAGCTGGGATTACAGATGCATGCCACCATGCCTGGCTAATTTTTATATTTTTAGTAGAGATGGGAGTTTCACCATGTTGGCCAGGCTGGTCTCAAACTCTTGACCTTAGGTGATCTGCCCACCTCCCAAAGTGCTAGGATCACAGGTGTGAGCCACTGCACCCGGCCAGGAGGGCCTTCTTTTATTTTTTATGAGATGGAGTCTCCTTCTGTCACCAGGCTGGAGTGCAGTGGCACGATCTTGGCTCACTGCAACCTCCGCCTCCCGGGTTCAAGTGATTCTCCTGCTTCAGCCTCCAGAGTAGCTGGGACTACAAGTGTGCACCACCATGCCCAGCTAATTTTTGTATTTTTAGTAGAGACAGGGTTTCACCATGTTGGCCAGGATGGTCTCTATCTCCTGACCTCATGATCCGCCCGCCTTGGCCTCCCAAAGTGTTGGGATTACAGGTGTGAGCCATCGTGCCCAGCCTCAGGAGGGCCTTCTTAAAGGGGCAGTGCTCCTCCCACAGCCTCCTGGCTGAGCCCTCTGCTCATCCCATCGGCCTCTCCTGCGTGGGCAGCCTTGGTGAAGTCAAGCTCCACATTTGCACCTTGCTGAACCTCGATGGGCTACAGGACACAGCTTCACACAGGCCACTTGAAAGGATAGAGAGCCGCTATTGGTGCCCGAGGATAGGGTGAAAGGAGAGGAGGCCAGAGGAAGGAGGAGGAGAAAAAGGTGGCTTCATGGCAACGTTCATCCTGTACCTGGTGTTTCTCCCTCCCTGACCCACATGCAGGCAGGAAAGGGGCAGACCCTGGAGAAGTCTGCTTTGAGCACAAGTCGTGGCTGTTCGGTAATTGGGCAGAGTGAGGTCAGAGCTTGGAATGTGCAGATTTCTCCAGTGATCGGTTGTGTTCCTGTGGGCGCCTGTGCTGTAGGCTCTGGGAAAGAGGCCATGGGGGACTAACCATTCTTAGCTATAACTATTTCCACATCTGTTGCCGAAATAAAGCAGAGATGAGGGGAGGGAAGAGAGGCAGGGAGAGAGAGAATATTCCACTTTGCTATAAGACTTTGCACTGCTGACTGAGCTCAGTGGCTCATGAATCCAAACACTTTGGGAGGCTGAGGCTGGAGGATCGCTTGGGCCCGAGTTTGAGACCAGCCTGGGCAACTTAGAGAGACCCGTCTCTACCGGAAAAGAAAAATATCCAGGCATGGTGGTGCGTGCCTCTGGTCCTAGCTACTTGGGAGGCTGAGGTAGGAGGATCACTGGAGCCTAGGAGGTGGAGGCTATAGTGAGCCATGATCATGTCACTGCACTCCAGCCTGGGCAGCAGAGCAAGACCCTGTCTCAAATAAAAAAATAAAAATGCTGCGCATGGTGGCTCTCATCCCAGCACTTTGGGAAGCCAAGGCGGGCGAATCACCTGAGGTCGGGAGTTTGAGACCAGCCTGGCCAACACAGAGAAACGCCATCTCTACTAAAAATACAAAAAATTAGCCAGGTGTGGTGGCACATGCCTATAATTCCAGCTACTTGGGAGGCTGAGGCAGGAGAATCGCTTGAACCTGGAAGGCAGAGGTTGCAGTGAGCTGAGATTGCGCCATTGCTCTCCAGCCTGGGCAACAAGAGCAACTCCATCTCAAAAATAAAAATAAATAAATAAATAGAACGCTGCACTAAAGGGGCTCCCATTGGAGCTGCTTCAGAGGCCTGCCTGATCCATTCTCCCTTAGGAAACCCTGGGTGGGGGAACCAAGGGCAGGAAGGGGGCAGGCAGTGAATGGACAGGGAGCAGGCCAGTGACTTGAGGAACTTGTATTTTTGAAGGGGATAAGAAACGGAGCAGAAGTGACCAGACCATGTGCAGAGGAAGCCCAGCCCCTTCTTTTGTCCCAGGTCAGTCTCTCTGGACCCTCCCTCTTTCCTCTTCAGAATCTTTTGCTGTCTAGTCTTGGACACTCCCTGCTCAAGGGTTCTGTGGCCTCCAAAACACTCGCAGTCCTCGCTGACCTCACAACAACCTCCCTGCACCAGCCAAGCCCATGAGAGCATCCCAGCTCGGGACTTCCTCTTCCTGACTCTTGAGCCCCAAGTTCCCTTCTCACGCCCCACATAACCTGTGATGGAAGTTAGAGGAGTGGATACCTGTGTGTGTATTGGGGAGTGGGGTGTGGAAGGGAAGGGGCATGAGGGGACATGCTGGAATATTGACAGACACCTACATCTTCAGACAGTGACAACACCTGGAGTAGAAAACACCAGTAGTAGAAAAATGGACACTCAAGGCCAGGTGCGGTGGCTCACACCTGTAATCCCAGTACTTTGGGAGGCTGAGGCGGGTAGATTGCCTGAGGTCACCAGTTCAAGACCAGCCTGGCCAACATGGTGAAACCCTGTCTCTACTAAAAATACAAAAATTAGCTAGATGTGGTGGGGGGGCCTGTAGTCCCAGCTACTTGGGAGGCTGAGGCAGGAGAATCAGAGGCTGCAGTGAGCTGAGACTCCTGACAGAGTGAGACTCCATCTCGAATAAAAAAAAGGAAAAAGAAAAACGTACGCTCAAAATATGTGCATTTTTCTGTACATACATTACAATTCAACTTTTTTTTTTTTTTGAAGACAGAGTCTTACTCTTGTTGCCCAGGCTGGAGTGCAATGATCTTGGCTCACGGCAAACTCCGCCTCCCAGGTTCAAGTGATTCTCCTGCCTCAGCCACCCGAGTAGCTGGGATTACAAGCACCCACCACCATGTCTGGCTAATTTTTTGTATTTTTAGTAGAGACAGGGGTTTCACTATGTTGGTCAGGATAGTCCCGAACTCCTGATCTCAGGCGACCCACCTGCCTTGGCCTCCCAAAGTGCTGGGATTACAAGTGTGAGCCACCACGCCCAGTCACAATTCAATTTTTTAATTTTTATTTTTGAAAATAGAGACAGGGGGCCGGGCGCGGTGGCTCAAGCCTGTAATCCCAGCACTGTGGGAGGCCGAGGCGGGTGGATCACGAGGTCAAGAGATCGAGACCATCCTGGTCAACATGGTGAAACCCCGTCTCTACTAAAAATACAAAAAATTAGCTGGGCATGGTGGCGTGTGCCTGTAGTCCCAGCTACTCAGGAGGCTGAGGCAGGAGAATTGCCTGAACCCAGGAGGCGGAGGTTGCGGTGAGCCGAGATCGCGCCATTGCACTCCAGCCTGGGTAACAAGAGCGAAAACTCCGTCTCAAAAAAAAAAAAAAGAAAATAGAGACAGGGGCTCACTATGTTGCCCAGGCTGGTCTTGAACTCCTGGGCTCAAGTGACTCTTCCACCTCAGCCTCCCAAATTGCTGCAGGTATGAGCCACTACACCTGTCTATAATTCAGTTTGTTTGTTCTTGTTTTTGTTTTTTTAGATAGAGTTTTGCTCTTGTTGCCCAGGCTGGAGTGCAACGGCACGATCTTGGCTCACTGCAACCTCCACCTCCTGGGTTAAAGTAATTCTCCTGCCTCAGCCTCCCGAGTAGCTGGGACTACAGGCACGTGCCACCACACTCAGCTAATGTGTTGTATTTTTAGTAGAGATGGGGTTTCATCCTGTTGGCCAGGATGGTCTCTATTTCCTGATCTCATGATCGGCCCGCCTCAGCCTCCAAAAGTGCTGGGATTACAGGCAGGAGGAGCCACCGCACCTGGCCAACAGATTCTTTACCAAGCTGGTGAGACCAAGGCAGGCACGGCTGAGTGCTGCCCTTTTATCAAGGCTTGACTAAAGGCCCTCACCCAGGGTCACTATCGGAGCTCACTCTAGTACCCACCCTCATGGAGCCCTGGGGTCAGCAGTGGAGAGGGTCAGAGCACCCCCCAGCCCCCACGGCAAGATGGCCTGGGCTCAAGTCCTGCCTCTACCCCCAGAGCTGTGACTGTGGGCAAGCTATTTTACCCCAGGACCAGTTTCTTGTCTGAAGGCAGGGCAATGAACAAGACCTTCAGAATTCTTGTGTGGATAAAATCATGTGTGAAGAGCCTTTAGGACCTTGCCTCTCAAGGTGGGGGTGGGGGCCCCAGGCCATCCACACATCTGGAGTGTTCGGGGAGATGCAGAGGCCTACCCCAGCCCTCTTTATAAAGCCCCCATGTGGCTCCTGTACGCACTCGTGTTTTTGAAGCCCCGTGGACATCCCACCACTGCCCAAATGTTGTGAGATGCAAGTGGCCCCGGCCACAGCTCCCTCCAGGGTGAGGGCTTTTCCTCACTGACTCCCACTGATCCCAGCAAGGCCGCTTCTAGGTCTGCTGGGAGAAACCCCAGGGGCAGAGAAGTGGACCAGGGGCTGCCTGTATCACTTTATCTTTTCTACTTTATTACTTCAAATTAACAACCACAATAAAGCTCAAAAAAGTCCAATATTTACACAGGAAAAATGTACAAAATTCCCCCCAAAGTTCTTCAGTATTTTTTTTTCAGTTTTTTAAAATTACAAAGTAATAAAAAGATAAAAAATATAATTAGAAAAAAAAAAAAAAAAAAAACGAAAAAGGGGAAACAGAGGTAAATAAATTAGGAAAACACACAGAGAAAACAAACAAAAATAAAATAACAAAAAGAGGTGTTAACTAGGAAGGATGGTTAATCCGAAACCCAGCCCTGACCCCAGGTGACTGTCAGGACCAGTGAAGTCATTTGTAACTCAGAGCCAGATGCCTTCTGGAAGTAGTCTCCATGGATTCTGCCCTAAAACCAGGAATGGAGGATGGAGCTGCCACCAGCTGATGACGGGCTGTGGGGGGATCGGCAGCAGCAAGGACCCTCTGAGCTCTGAGGGATTCGGAGGTCACCACCCACCCCCATGTCCTTGTTAGTAGACACAGGAAAACAGGAATTCGGCCTGGCAGGTGGGGTGGGCCGGGGCACCTGCTGTCCTGGGAAACACAGGTCAATACATCCACACACGCGCACAAGGGACACCAGCCCCCACCACCTCCCCACCCACTCCAAGGAGAGGCAGAGGAGGAGCCTGGAGGCCAGGGGGACACTGGAAAAGCTCAGCACAAGAAGCTGGCCACTGTCATCTCAGAGTGGGTGTCGCTGTGCGTATCTCCTGGATTCTGAGGCTAGGGAAATTCGGTGGGTTTCGACTGACCACATCACTCCGATGATGCTCAAGGGCCAGCTGCGGCTCTGGGACCTGCCACTTCCGGGACATGGACCGTTCCTCTCCCAGCAGGTGGTGGGTGGGGGCAGGAATGGCAGGCCGGCAGGGGCTCTGGCGTCTGACTCCTATAGCCTGGAGCTGTCGGGGGAGCGTCTGGCAGCCTGAAGATTGGGGGCAGCAGGCACCACAAGGGGGCAAGAATCCTCAGTGCTGAGGGCATCCCATCTTCTTGCCATTGGCAAAGAAATCAAAGAAACAAAATCCATTGTCGGTTTTGTGCTGGGTTTTTTTGTTGTTGTTCTTTTGAGTGGTTTATTTTTTCCATCTTTTTTTGTTTATTAAAAGAAAATACAGTGAAGACACTAGAAGGGGGAAGGGAGAAGACAGGTGAGGTGCACGGCCACTGGCTTTTTTTTTTTTTTTTTTTTTTTTTTTTTTTTTTTTTTTTGAGACGGAGTCTCTCTCTGTCACCAGGCTGGAGTGTAGTGGCACCATCTCGGCTTACTACAACCTCTGCCTCCAGGTTCAAGTGATTCTCCTGCCTCAGCCTCCCAAGTAGCTGGGATTATAGGCGCTTACCACCACGCCCAGCTAATTTTTGTATTTTTAGTAGAGATGAGGTTTCAACATGTTGGCCAGGCTGGTGATCCGCCCAGCTCAGCCTCCCAAAGTGCTGGGATTACAGACGCAGGTCACTGCACCCGGCTCCCCAAGGCTTCTGTTTTCTTGTCCCTCGGTCTATCTCCCTCTGGGCCCCAGAGCCTGGCTCAAGGCCCAGCATGCTAAGAGATCCATCTTTATGTGACAGAAAGGAATTCTCTCCCTCCTCTGCCCTCCTGGTGAGCATCTCCCACCCCACCCCCAAATATCTGCCCATGGATGGCCTGGTTCCTGGGCCTGAGATCTGAGGAAGGCCAGTCCTGTTCATGCCTCCACTCCCTCTGTGGATGAATTTCTACAACACAGACCACACTCAGACGGTCCCAGTGGGAAGCCGGGTCCCCTGATGAGTCGGGCTACTGCCTACACATGTTCCCCAGAGAGCTCAGATTATACCCTCGACAAGCCCAAAGAACCCCTACCACCTCCCCTTCCCAAGCAGAGTGGAGAGTTTCCACACCCTGCCTCAAGGCCTCGTGCAGTCAGCGAAGGACCGGGAGGCCCGCACTGGCCAGAGGGCCTCTCCCAGTCCTGCAGGGGCCTCTAAAGGCGTCCTCCGCTTCCTCCACAGTCCTGTTGTGAGTCTTGTGCAGGAATTAACTTGCGTAACAGCCCAGAGGCTAAGACAGGGCTAAAGCCCTGGGAGAGGTCAGCGTGTGTGCCCATGGCCCCCCCTCTGCTGGGAACCAACCTTCCAGACTACGTTAAGGCAAAAGGAGACAGAGGGCTGGCCCAGGGGCAGAAAAAGAGTTTTCCCAGCAGAAATGAATCCATGTGGGGTCAGGCCTGAGCAGAGAAACCCTTGGCCCCGAGTCAAGCAGGCTCTGAGGTTTACTCCTTGAGGCCCCTTAGTTCGGGCGCCTGGTACCACCTGCCACAGCTACCCACGCCCTCCACAACACACTGGTCTCTTTCTGGGGCCCTGAGAGCTTCTAGAGCTGGCTGGGCGGGTTGCATCTACAGCGTCAAGGACTCACCTAAGCAAACACTGGTCCACTGGGGGCTCTCCTCACTTCCCGAGATGGTCAAATGGCACACTTGTCTTTTGAGGGCGGGGGAGGGAGAAGAACAAGCTTCAAGTCAAGTCCCTCCGCTGCTGACGACGGACACCTGGCAAGTCTCGCCCCACTGTGGAGCTCTATCCGTACCCCCACACAGCCCCTCATGCCAAGGGAAGCGACGTGTGATTCCAATGACTCTAAGATGCCCCAATGACTCTAGGAACATTGTCCAGGGAGGTAAGCCTGCCACCTAAATAGATGGCCAAAGAGGGTCCTCTCGCAGAACTCCCTCCTCACTCACAGGCAGAGGTTTCTGAGATGTCCACCCGGCCTCCCTCCCCTGCTGTGCCATGCAGGGCTGCTGGGCCCAGAGCACCCCCTCCACAGGCAGGAGGACAAGGGCAGGGCTCCCACCCGCCCCTGCCAGGTCACCTTCCCTGGGCAGCAACCAGATTGCCCCTTTCCCAAGTGTTCCCATCCAAACACGGCCACAAAGTGGATGGGACCCCACTGCTCTCATACCCCATGCTCTGGCCAGTGCTCACAGAGGCTCCTGGGGGGGGTCCCTGATGCCAGGGAGCATGAGTACCTCATCTCTGAGCTTCTGCTGCCCACCCAGGCTGGGCCCCTGACAGCGAGGGCCTGAGCCCAGCTGTGCCACTGCCAGGGAATGTTACTGTTCTGAGCCTTGAATGACTGTGTTCAAGAGGGCTCATTAGACCTCAGAGGATTAAATGAGGCCAAGTCCCAGCCCAACAGATGGGTTCACTCCAAGGCAAGCAGCATCAGTGGAGAGAGCAGAACAGAGCCGAGGCCTGACCTCACCCTGGGGGGCAGGGGGTTTCTAGCTCAGCTGTGAGGCCCAGAGGGACTGGCAGGGGGCAGCTCACCTGTGAGGCTGGGATCCGGGAGACCTCTTGCCGCCCAGTGAGGTCTGAGGAGGAGACGTTGGCGGGCGCGCCCCTGTGCAGCCTCATACTCACCTTCCTCTCCCGGTCCACCCGCGAGATCGCTCTGGGAGAAGTATTGCCTGCAGGGAGAGGCGTGGGAAGCCGCCCTCAGAGGGGGCACACACAGAGCCCCCCTGCCCACCCTGAGCCCAGCCCACTGCCTGAGGCCCTCCTCACCAGCTGGCTGGATGCGGGAGGCTGGTGTGGAAGCCACAGGCTCGGCGGCACTGCGGAGCCGGTTGGCAGTGGCCCCCGTGGGTGGGCCAGGGGGCAGGGCCCGGGTTGCGGACCCCCGTAGCTGCCCCATCCTCTCCTCGCGCTCGTGTTCTCGCCGCTCCCGGTCCACGTCCTCGGGGTTCCGGGCTGCACCCTGCAGGGAAGCAAAAATGGACACCGGTCAGCCCCAGAGGCCAAGGTGCTCTGGGCCCAGCAGCCCTGCAGGGCACAGCAGGGGAGGGAGGCCGGGTGGGCATCTCAGAAACCCTCTGCTCCAGCTTCACCCCCAAGCACAGGAAGCCATGACCCATGATCACATAGCAGAGACAAGAAGCCAAACAACCGCCCGGAGAAAGGAGAAGGCAGTAGTCTGGGGGCAGAGGGAGGTCGGTCTGCCCTGCTCTCCTGGGATGGAGCCAGAGCCAGGACTACTAATGCCCCCAGGATGATCAAGAGCACCCCGGGCCCTCCCGGCCGGGGCTGGGCCTGCCCTAGCTCCCTCTGTGTACTGAGAGCCCTGAACTACTCAGTGTTGCCAAACCGAGCAGGGAAGCTGTTGAGAGGGCTCTAGCAGACTGGCTAGCGGTGTCCAGAGGGGAAAGAACAGGCCCAGAGTCACAAAACTAGTGGAAGCCTGGGCCAGGACTCAAACCAGCCCTCCCGGTGCCCAGCCAGGGGCTCTTTTCATCAGGGAGCTGTCTTTCCCCTGCCAGAACCTGGCAATGGCTTCTGGTAGGTACAGTGGAGGCCACGGCCAGAAGACCCAGGGGACCCACAGAATCACTGCCTGCCTTGGGATGGGGGCTCAAGAGGAGCTGGAGAAGAAAATGGAATCACGTGCCCCATGGAGGAAGAAGAGGTCCAGCAGGCAAGGCTGGAGCAATGGGGTACCCCGAGCCCCCAGGGGCCCTGCTCTCCAGCTACTGCTGCCGCCCTGTGCAGGAGGAAGTGAGAAAGGCCCAGAGAGGAGCAGGTGTGGGAGCAGCGCCCAGCTGCATTACCTAGTTCATCCCGGGGCCGTCCGCAGGGAAGGGCAGGGGGCTGGCAGGAGGGGGGCCGCATCTGTGGAGAGAGCTGCGGGCTGAGTTGGGGGCCTGCTCATGGGCCACAGGGTGTGGTTCCTGCCACCCACATCTCTCCCAGGAGACTGGCCAAGAAGTGGGGGCAGGGGTGGGCCCTGTCTTTAAGGAATTCCAGGAAGTAGTGGCTAGGACTAGAATGATCCCTGAACCTTAGTGAGGTACCACAGCCCAGAAACCCTTCATGACCTGCCTGGAGTCACACAGCTCAGGGAAGAGCTGGGATCTGAACCCAGGCCTCTGCCACCTAGTCCCACTCTGCTCTCAGCACCCCAAGAGGTCACTATTCAGAGCCTTGCCTTAGACACTCTAGAGACACATCTTCCCATCCTCCCACCTAGAAGCCTCTCAGACAGGCCTGGGACCCCCAGGGCTCCAACTCCTGACCTCTGGTCCTCACCCTGGGCTCCCACTCAGTTGCAGGCTGGCCAATAGTGACTCAGCCAGAGCCACAGCAAAGCCTGGGGAGGAACATGAGCCATGGTACCTCCGTGTTAAACCTCCTGTGGGCTGGGTCACACCAACCCCGCTAGGCCAGTCAATCTCATTCCCTAGTTTGGGACACAGAGGCTGAGTGACTCGCTCCAAGGTGTGCAGCCCTGCAGCCACCAGCCAAGCAGAGGGCTGGAACCCCTGCCCTTCGTGAGCCCAGCAGGCTCAGGCCATCGCCAGCCCAGAGGCAGGAAGCGGGTGATCCTCCAAGGTCCCATCCAACCCACAGGATGCAAAAAACGCATAGCAGGGAGCTCTCTTGGCCTTTATTACCCATAGAAAACACAAAAGGTCAGCAAGCATCCACTTGTCATCACAGGGACCTCTGTCTTTGGCTGTAATTCCTTCCTGGACGGCTGGTTGGCCCTTGGAACGCTGTGGCTGTATGTGCTGAGAGTGGCTTCTAGGCTCCAGGGACCCAAAGATCCCAGCACCCCGATGCTCAACACAGGGGTCCTGTCTACTGTCGGGGGCATGGGAGGGGCCTGGCCTCAAGGTGAAGGTTCCCACTGCATGTTTTCCAGGTGCTTCTGCCAGGGGGCTGCTGGAGGTGGTTCAGCTCACCACAGTGGCCGTGGCAATGAGTCAGATAGGCAAAGGATAAGGCTGGGGGCACCTCTGCCCAGCTTCTAACTCCAGGGCCTGCCTCAAGAGGGACTCCAGGAAGGCAGTGAGACCAGCGGCACTGGGTGGAAAGGTGCTCCTGGCCTGGCTAGAGAAGAGATCTTGCTGGCTAGACAGTCTTGTGAGAATCCGTAAGGGAGGCACCCAGAGCAGTGATGGGGGCAGAACGTTCTGGATGAAGAAACTGGTCCCGTCTGCCTTGCTGGATGTGGTGGCCACTACATCCAGCTCCTGAGAACTTCAAATGTGTTGGAGGTGACTGAGGAACGAAATTTTCAGTCTGCCTTTTTTTTTTTTTGGTAACAGAGTCTTGCTGTGTCACCCAGGCTGGAGTATAGTGGCACAATCTCAGCTCACTGCAACCTCTCCTCCTGGGTTCAAGTGATTCTCCTGCCTCAGCCTCCTGCGTAGCTGGGATTACAGGTGCACACCACCATGCCCAGCTGATTTTTTTTTTTTTTTTTTTTTTTTTTTTGAGAAGGAGTTTCGCTCTTGTTACCCAGGCTGGAGTGCAATGGCGCGATCTCGGCTCACCGCAACCTCCGCCTCCTGGGTTCAGGCAATTCTCCTGCCTCAGCCTCCTGAGTAGCTGGGATTACAGGCACGTGCCACCATGCCCAGCTAATTTTTTTGTATTTTTAGTAGACGGGGTTTCACCATGTTGACCAGGGTGGTCTCGATCTCTTGACCTCATGATCCACCCGCCTCGGCCTCCCAAAGTGCTGGGATTATAGCATGAACCACCATGCCTGGCCGACATTTCTAGTCTTGATTAATTTTAGTTCATTAAAAAAGTGTCGCATGTAGCCAGTGGCTACCATATTGGACAGTGTCAGTCTAGAGAATACAAAATCCATTCTTAGAGTTGTGCTGAGCTGGAGGGCCCAGACTATCGCAGAACCAGACTTGGGAGTGACTATCTTGATGAGAAAGTGCCCAGTGCCCTGTGGTGGAAAGCAATGGTCCCAGGTGCCCCAGGGCCCTCAGCCTCATTTGGAGCCAGAAGGTCTAGGGTAAAATCGGAGAAGGCACCACCTGCCCATATCCCATTCCCACCCCTGTTGAAAAAGGTAACAGAGGCCTTTCTTCCTAAGGTCCCCGGCCTGCAAGACCTCCATTCTCTGCCTGACCTCTCACTCCTTAGTGAACGAGACCACATCACTGTCTGAAACCAGAGAGAAGAGAAGTCCAAGACCAGTATGCCAACCTTGGCTTCCAGGAGAACAAGGCCTTGGTCCTAACCATGTGGCAAGGCGGCCGATGGCCCTGCCATGAAATAGGCTCACCAGAATGGAGCAAGAGGTGGTGTTTAATGAGTTCAGCTTCAATACAGAGGCTGCCGGCGGGGTCTGGCTGTGAGTCTGTCCTGGGACCCATTCCCACCACGTCCCTCTTGGGCAGTGGCCGCCATCCTTCCTTCAGGCTGCCCTGGCCCTCGGGGGGCTGGCTCCTTCCCGAGGATCCCATGGCAGGGCCTTCTCCACCATCCCCTCCACCCAAGAAACACTTCCTCAGGCCTGGCCCCGATGGGCTCAGGCACACCTGGTGACATCAGAAATGGGGCCCTGGAGTCCAGACCACAGGCCAGTAGTTTTGGGGGAGCAGCTCCTCCACCTCCTCCATGGGCCTATCTGGGGGGCTCTGGGTGCCCAGGGGCGCCGGGCACCTGGAAGGGACAAAGAGAGCACAGCTGAGGCTCAGCCTCTTGCGCTCCCTGGTCAAGTGGTAAATCTTGGAAAAGCCAGGCCTCAGAGGGTCCTTACCAGTACGTGGGTGGGTATGTGGGCCCGGCACAGGGACAGGGACGGGGACAGAACGGTCCCTTCGCTGTCACGGGGCTGTCACAGGGCTGAGCCTGGCTCAAGGAAGCCCCCTTTTCCAGAAGAGATGTGAAACAAGACATACAATTTCACAGATTCCAGAGCCCTGGGCACAGCCAGCCAATGCTGCTCCCCACCCCACCCCCGGGACTCTTAAAGGAGGGAAACAGAACAACTGCCTAGCCAGACCCAGGGTCCCATGACCAAGAAGAAAGAAAGAAGCATGACTGGGTCCAGGCTGGCCGGAGGGGCCGCAGTGCAGGTAGCCGCCTGGGACGTGCAGAACAGGAGCAGCAGGATAGTGTAGACAGCGATCAGGGCTGCAGGGGTTGCCGCCAGCACCACCCACGTCTCACCTCGGGCACCCAGGAGGGACCCCAGGCCATGCCAGGTCCTCCTTGTTCTGACAGGAGGCAGCGCCCTGCCTGGGCCCTGCTGCCTAAGGCGGCACGAGCTGTCAGCACGGATGAGGCAGGAGGGCTCCAGGACCCCAGTGACATCAACCACACTGTCCAGCTCATACCTCCCATCTGTCGGGAGCCCCGCCCGCCACCAGCTCACTTTGGCCCTATGAGTCAGGGCCTTCCCCATCCAGTCCCCCAAGCCCGCCTTGGTCTCCAGGTGACTCACGAATTTCAGCATGTTCCAATCGAAGACGTAGTCATAGGAGAAGCCCTGCCGGTGGAAAAGGTTGCGGAAGAGCTGGCGTAGGTAAGAGTAGTCCGGTTTGTCGTCAAACCGCAGGGAGCGGCAGAAGTTGAGGTATGTTGAAAATTCAGCTGGTGGGGGTTGCAGGGGACAGAGAGGGCCACCGTGAGGGCCACACTCCCAGAGCCCCTGCAGCCAGCATTGTCTAAGCCACCCACTGTTCCTACAGATACTTTCAATCTGACAGGGGGACGAAAAGGAGGCAACAGAACCACAGCCTCCCCTACCATGACAAAAGCCTGGCCTGCCTGTGACAGAGCCTCTGCCACTTTCTGAGCAAGGGAAGACCTGCCAACAGCGGCCAGGGGCCTCTGTCAGGCAGCCGGCTCCAGGAGCCATGCCCACAGCTCTTCCGCTGCCCTCACCAAGCACCCTGGGGCCTGAAGATCAATCATTGCCACAAACTGAAAGGGCTGCAAGAGCCCGATGGGACCTTCCCACATGACCTAAGCAGGAGGAAAACTTCCATTTCCTTCTCAAAAAAACTGGGGAGGGCGCCCCTGGGAGATGAGGCAGGAACATGGGCTGGGGAGTAACAGGTGTTAACAGCCAGGCCAGGGAAACCAGGCCTTTTGGCTGTGCCAAGGAGTGGCAAAGAGCCAGGGGTTACTGCTCGGGTGCCAAGGGCTGGGGCAACCTAGTGTGGGCTTTGTTTTTCATTTAAGATGGAGTCTTGCTCTGTTGCCCAGGCTGGAGTACAGTGGTGCAATCTCAGCTCACTGCAACCTCTGCCTTACAGGTTCAAGCGATTCTCCTGCCTCAGCCTCCCCAGTAGCTGGGACTACAGGTGCCTGCCACCACGTCCAGCTAATTTTTGTATTTTTAGTAGAAACAAGGCTTCACCATATTGGTAAGGCTAGTTTCAAACTCCTGACCTCAGGTGATCCACACGCCTCGGCCTCCCAAAGTGCCAGGATTACAGGCTTGAGCCATGGTGCCTGGCCCCAGTGTGAGCTTTGTGTGGCCTCACCTTCCCCTTAGACAGTGCCCCAGGGGCCCCCAGGCGTGTCCCCTCCCACTGGGCTACTCACAAGGATAGCCTTTGCAGAGGACCTCGATGGGCGTCGACATCTTCTTCTCACTGATCCGCTCATACTTCTGGCGCTTGGTGGCTGCTTTGAGTCCCTGCCAGGGCAGGGAGCCCAAGTTGAAGTACATGAGCACGTAGCCCAGGCTCTCCAGATCATCTCGACGGCTTTGCTCTGTACAGAGAATCAAAGACCAGGTGAGGGATAGGGGTCCACTCAGGCCCCTAGCTCATCCTCTGGGTCGTGCTCCTCACCACGCACCAAGCACCCTCCCATGTTGCTCACTGCACTCATTCAAAACAGGCACTGCTATTCTCCTCCTCCTACAGAGAAGCAGCCCAAGACAGAACCTTCTCAACTTAATTTGGCCCTAGTTTTTCCAGCTCAGGCACTTAATCATTCGATGCCTGTGAGTGGGCACCTACTGCCCCCTTGCCTGGTCCACCCCGTGGAGAGGTCACAAGCTTCAGCATCAGCCAAGGCTGGGGTCAAATCCAGCTTTGGCATTCGCTAAGCTGCATGACCTTAAGCAACTCATGTTTAAACCTTTGAGCCTGTGTTTCCCAGCCTGCACCAACAGGAAGTGTCCTCACCCACTCAACAGGGCAGAGAAGGAAGCGGGGCCAGGGTGTACACCCATCACACACGGCTTGGCTTACAAAGGGGAAGGCCCAACTGCAAGGACAGGGAATAAGCCCAAGCCTGGGGGCAGATGGGGTGTGCACTTTCTCACTAGAAAAGAGCCCGGGGGTCTCCACTAAGGTAGGGGGTGGGAGGGCTCCAGAGAGCTGGGCCCTGGCCAGCGGCCCCAGGTGCACACTGCTCCAGGCCTGGCTCCCTCACCAATGCCCAGGTGCGTGTTGATGGAGGCGTAGCGGGCCGTGCCGGTCAGGTTCTTGTTTTCCCGGTAGGGAATGTGCTGGTGCGTGCGGGCGTCCCGGTACTTCTTGGCCAGACCGAAGTCGATGATGTAGACCAGGTTGCCCTTCTTCCCCAGCCCCATGAGGAAGTTGTCGGGCTTGACGTCCCGGTGGATGAAGTTCTTGGAGTGAATGTACTCGATGCGGCTGATCTGGGGGGTAGGGAGCCATTCAGCAGGTGTTCGACAGAGGGGCCCTCCCCCAGTGCTCTGGGCCAGGCAAGGGCTGGGGCACAGAGATGGAAAACATACACCTGGCCCCTATCCTGGAGAGGAAGAAAGGTCTGCCTTCCACTATGAAGGATGATTTCAAGGGGCAGGCCAGAGAAGGCCTCCTGGAAAAAGTGACATCAGGATGAACTCTGAAGGAGGAGTTCACCAAACTGGTTGTGAGAGAGAGAAAGAGAGCAATGCAGGGAAGCTAGATCCGGGAATGAAGAGTTCATTAGAAAGGCAGCTGGGTCCCTGTGGAAGGCTTGCCTGCCCCGTTCCACACTCACAGGACTTAGGGAACCAGAGGCAAGAGATGCAGGGAAAGGGCAGGCAGGGAGCACGAGGGAAGCCTAAGCCAGGCATGGGAGACAGAGATGGAGCACCAAAGGCAGGGCTCTGAAGGGTGCCAAACTCAGGCATACACACGGCCCTGCTGCCTTTAATTTTTTTTTTTTGAGATGGAGTCTCAGTCTGTTGCCTGGGCTAGAGTTCAGTGGCACAATCTTGGCTGAATGCAACCTCCACCTCCTGGGTTCTGGTGATTCTCCCGCCTCAGCCTCTCAGGTAGCTGGCACTATAGGCGCATGCCACCATGCCTAACCAGTTTTTTGTATTTTTAGCAGAGGGTTTCACCATGATGGTCAGGCTGGTCTCACTGTGAGACCCCATCTCTATTTTTTTTTTTTTTTTAAAAACAGCGTCTTTCTCTGTTGCCCAGACTGGAGTGCATTGGCATGATCTTGGCCCCACTGCAACCTCTGCCTCCTGGATTCAATCAATTCTCCTGTCTCAGCCTCACAAGTAGCTAGGACTACCTACAGGCGCCTGCCACCAGGCCCAACTAATTTCTCTATTTTTAGTAAAGACGAGGTTTTCCCCATTTTGGCCAGGCTGGTCTCGAACCTCTGACCTTGTGATCCACCCGCCTCAGCCTCCCAAAGTACTGAGATTACAGGTGTGAGCCACCTCGCCTGGCCCAGGCCTGTCCTCTGGCATCCTCTGGAGACAGCAGGCCGGGCTGGTATCTTGGGCCCACAGGTACCTGGCTGGGGTGGAGGGGACGGGGACTCACCATCTGGTCGGCCAGGAGCAGCACCGTCTTGAGGCTGAACTTGCGGGAACAGAAATTGAACAGGTCCTCGAGGCTGGGCCCCAGCAGCTCCATGACCATTACGTTGTAGTCACCCTCAGCTCCGCACCACTTGATGGACGGGATCCCCACTGGGGGCCAAGTGGAGAGGTTCTGTCAGGGGTCAGAGGCAGCCAGCCACGCCTGCCCCACCACGCGCGTCCCACCCCATGCCTGCCACGGCCCATCCGGCGCCTGCTGCCTCCCACCCCGCGCTCACCACCGCCCTGCATCATCTTGTAGAACTTGCTCTCAATGTGCAGCTGGGGGTGCTTTGTCTTCACACACTCCAGCTTGATGGCGACTTCTTCACCAGAGGCGATGTTGGCACCTGCCCAGAGCGGGGAAACAAGGGACCAGGGTCACCCTCAAAGGCCAGGCAGTCCCAGGTGCCCCACTAAGCATTTCTGAGATCTGGTGTGTGCTGGGCCCTGGGCCATCTGCCCTTGAGAAGCTCTTAGTGGAGGCCGGGAAGGGGGCAAAGGAGGCTCAGCAAAGGCTTCCTGCCGGGAAAGAAGAGCAGCACTGCGAGGGACAGAGGTGACACACAAGGGCTACCCAGAGCCACAGGCTGGGGCAACAAGGAGGCCCAAGGTGAATGGGGCAAGGGGCAGGGATGCAAAAGGCTCACAGACCATCTAAGGGAGGGGGCCGAGGCCTGGTGAAAGGCTGGGCAGCAGGGTCTGTCAGGTTGAGGTGGTGACACGTGCAGAGAAGGGGCCCAATGGGGCTGGGCTACCAAATATATCGAACAACCCAGGACCACCCTGGCCCGCAGGATGAGGACAGGACAGCCACGCAACCCCTCAGTCAATGCCAGTGCCTTCAGAGGGAGCCCTGAACATTCTATTCCAACGTCTCATTTGATTCTCACCTCCGCTCTAGAGATGAGAAAACTGAGGCCCAGCTCAAGGTCACATGACCAGTAAATGGTGGCCTCGAACATCGACCCGGCTCTGCTGGCCTCCAGCCTAGGTCAGAGGTCCTGCCTGCACCTCCGCCTCTCCCCCAACCCACTCCTGGCTTCTCAAATATCCTCGGCCAGGCGCGGTGACTCACGTCTATGATCTCAGCACTTTGGGAGGCCGAGGCAGGCAGATCATGAGGTCCGGAGTTCAAGACCAGCCTGGCCAACATGGTGAAACCCCTCCCCCAACCCACTCCTGGCTTCTCAAATATCCTCGGCCAGGCGCGGTGACTCACGTCTATGATCTCAGCACTTTGGGAGGCCGAGGCAGGCAGATCATGAGGTCCGGAGTTCAAGACCAGCCTGGCCAACATGGTGAAACCCCGTCTTTACTAAAAATACAAAAAATTAGCCAGGCATAGTGGCAAGCACCTGTAATCCCAGCTATTTGGGAGACTGAGGCAGGAGAACTGCTTAAACCCAGGAGGTGAAGGTTGCAGTGAGCTGAGATTCCACCACTGCATTCCAGCCTGGCGACACAGTGAGACTCCGACTTAAAAAAAAAGAAACTACCCTTACACACACCAAAGCCCTGCTCTCTGCCTGGGCCCAGTCCCCCGAATCAAGAAGTCACCAGAAAGACCAAACCCAAAGTGCACCTTGCCTCAGTTTCCCTAGCTATACGGGTGGAAGAGAGGAATGGCTGGGGCGAGGCTGGGAGACGGGGTGTCTCCTTGGGGCCAGTGGCCAGCCCACCAGGAGTAGGATAGTGCTGCATCAGCACAGACACAGGCCAGCACATCCCTCCGGGACACAGCCCCAGGAGAAGTCCACGACAGGAGAAAGGCAGGACCTCAAATCCAAAGAAAAGAGGAGACTCTTCAATAATGATGTCCCTGGAACAGCCGGCTGGCCAGCTGAGAAAAGACACCATGGCTCATACAACCAGGAGAAATCTCAAGTGGAGGAAAAGTTGGTATCGAAGAAATAAAGGTGGGGGTGTGAGTGGGCACAGCCCGTGCACCTACTGAGTAAAGCTGAACATAAACAAACACTCGCCCAAACAACCCACTCCTGATTGGACGTTCTTCAGAAACACATATGCCCCAGTGGGACAGGACAAGGATGTACACAGGCACAAACAGCCCAGGTGCCCGGCAGCAAAAGAAAAGGAACAGGGGTGCAGTCACCCAGGAATCCCAGGTGGCGTACTCCCTCCTCCTAGCAGCCGGAGGGGGAAGCCACCAACTCTGTCACAGATGAAGGGATGAACAAAATGCGGTGTCTCCACGCAGCAGAATATTATTCAGCAATAAGGAGGAATAAAGGCCGGGCGCAGTGGCTCACGCCTGTAATCTCAGCACTATGGGAGGCCAACAGTGGTTGTTCACAAGGTCAGGAGTTCAAGACCAGCCTGGCTAAGATGGTGAAACGCCATCTCTTAATAAAAATCCAAAAAAATTAGCCAGGTGTGGTGGTGGGTGCCTGTAATCCCAGCTACTGGGGAGGCTGAGGCAGAGAAGTGCTTGAACCCGGTAAGTGGAGGTTGCAGTGAGCCAAGATCACATGACTGCACTCCAGACTAGGTGACAGAGGAGACTCTTTTCCAAAAAAAAAAAAAAGGAATAAAGTACTGATACATGCTACAATAGGAATGCACCTTGAAAACATTCTACTTGAAAAAAACCAGACACAAAGGGACACATGTTGTATGATCCTATTCACATGAAATATCCAGAATTGGCCAATCCATAGAGACATAAAGTCGAATGGTGGTGGCTGGGGGCCAGGGGCACGGGCAGCGGGGGTGCCTACTGATGGGCATGAGAATTTCTGTCATGGTGATGCCTGGCCAACATTTTAGTAGAAACCCTATTTCTACTAAAATTACAAAAATTAGCTGGGCATGGTGGCAGGCACCTGTAATCCCAGCTACTTGGGAGGCTGAGACAGGAGAATTGCTTGAACCCGGGAGGCGGCGGTTGCAGTGAGCTGACATTGCACCACTGCGCTCCAGCCCCAGCCCGGGTGGCAGAGACTCTGGCTCAAAAAAACAGAAGAGTGCTTGCACAGCTCTACTTGTTTCCATATCAAAGCAGGCGACAAGACTGGACAATACAGATTTAAATACAAAAGAAAGAAAAAAGATTAAATGTCAGTGGGTGATGCTAGGGAGGGATGCCTTATGCCACAAAGGTGTTCTCTATGTACTCTTTGCATCCACTCAACATTTAATATTAGAAGGGAGAATTGCCTTATAGCCCTGGGGTTAAGCAAGGCTTTTATTTTTATCCCTGATTTAAAATCCTGAAGCCTGAAATTTAAATTAAAAACAAAACAAAACAAAAAACACAACTCCTTCCTCTCCAAAAAAAGGAATTCCTTCTGCATGGCAAAAACACCAGAAATAAAGTCATAAGAAACATACTCACTTGCAATTCTTATCAAAGGCAAAGAGTTAATACGTAATGAGCGCCTACAAATCAGTTGGAAAAAGACTCAACAGAAAACAGGGCAAAGAATTTGAACACACTTCACAGTGAAAGAACTCATTAATAGAAAAGCCTTACTCACAGGAAAAGATGCCCAACCTCCTTGTAAGATAAATGCAAATTAATATCCTGAAAGACCGTTTTTCACCTAGGATTGTCAAAAGCCTCACAAGATAACACCGATGTGTCGGCAAGACTGTGGGGTGGCTGAGCACTTCTCCCAGGTGGTTGAAGTGTGAACTGTTGAGTGGCCACTGGAGGGGGACTTGACATCACTCAGCCCTGACCTGAACAACCCCACTTCCGGGAGTTTACCTGACATCCCAGCATGGCGCAAAACAAGGCGAGGACCAGGCTATTGGCTGCAGGCTGTTTGCAACAGCAGAAGCTTAGAAACAAGGCATATGTCCCTCTTGGGGGGATGGGGGAGGGGGAGACCGATTAAATAAAGAATAGCCTATCCATAAAACAGAATACGATGGAAAAAGAATGAGGAAGCTCTCCCTGCACAGAAGTGGCAAGATCTCCAAGATACAGGAAGTGAAAAAGCAAAACACAGAACAATGTATATTTCACACTCTCATTTCAGTATTCTTTAAAAAGGTGGGGAACTAAGTATCTGTGTTTGGCTCTAGCTACATAAAGAAACATTGAACAAAACACAACTGTGTAGGTCTAAGAGGGTCAGGGAGGAAGAGGGGGAGGTTTCACTGGATACTGTGTTACAAGTTGTTATTTATTTCAACACCTTTATTGAGATGTAATTCACATAACTCTCCAATTGATTAACTCAAAGTGTAAGACTCACTGTTTTTAGTATATTCCCAAGGTTGTGCAGTCATTACCACAATCAATTTTAGAACAGTCAGCCCTTTGTATCAGCATCTGCTGTGAGTTCCACATCTGCTGATTCAACTATGGATCAAAAATATGTAGAGGGAAAAAAAATAAAAAAATAACAATACAACAATAAGAAATAGGTTGGGCTCAGTGATACACATCTGTAGTCCTAGCGCTTTGGGAGGCTGAGCAGGAGGGATCACTTGAGTCCAGTGGTTCGAGGCCTGCCTAAGCAACAAAATGAGACCTAGTGTCTACAAAAAAATACCAAAATTAGCCAGGCGTGGTAGTAGTTGCCTGTGGTCCCAGCTACCTGGGAAGCTGAGGCGGAAGGACTGCTTGAGCCTAGGAGGTCAAGGCTGCAGTGAGCCACGATCATGCCACCACATTGCAGCCTGGGTGACAGAGGAAGACCATGTCTCAAAAGTAAATAAGTAAATAAATAATATAAAAATTAAAAATACAGCATAACTATTTCTATAGCATTTACATTGTATCAGGTATTATAGGCAACCTAGAGATGATTTAAAGTATATGGAGGATGTGCATAGGTTATACACAAATCCCACACCTTTTGATATCAGGAACTCGAGAACTGGAGAATTTTGGTATCTGAGGGGGATGTGGAACCTATTCCCCACAGGTGCCGAGGGTAGGGGGTGCTGCATTTTTTTTCCTTTTGAGACATGATCTCAATCTGTCACCCAGGCTAGATTGCAGTGGCACTAACACAGCTCACTGCAGCCTCAACTTCCAGGGCGCAAGTGAACCTCCCACTTCAGCCTCCCAAGTAGCTGGGACTACAGGCACAAGCCACCGCACCCGGATAATTTTTATATTTTTTGTAGAGACAGGGTTTGCCATGTTGCCTAGGCTGGTCTTGAACTCCTGGGCTCAAGTGATTCACCTGCCTCAGCCTCCCAAAGTGCAGGGATTACAGGCATGAGCCACCATGCCTGGCCCAGGAAGGCTGTATTTTCATCACCCTGAAAACACCTGCAGCCTTTAGTGGGGTAAGGCCTGAGACAGGGGGAGGATCTCTTAACTCCATCCCCTGCCCCCGACTAATCTACTTTTTGTCTCTATGGATTT